CCTCCTCCACCTCCTCCACCTCCTCCACTCTACTGCTCCTTTCTCTGCATCCTTCTTCCTCCCCCTAGGAATGCTGAGAGTCTTCTAAGATCAGAGCCCCTTCTGGCTACCCATCCTGTGACTTCCTAGGGTTCACTTTGTCGTCACAACTTTTGAATTGCCTGTAGTTGAATTCTCTCTGACTACCAGCAGTGAAGTATTCCTAAGTGGTGCAGAGCACACTGGGCATTTGTGTCTGTGATTGTAGACACCTGCCCTAGTGTTAGCATGGGCATTCAGAAGAGATGGAGGCACAGGAAGAAATCCTCCTATGAGATGGCCACTTGGGAAACCGATGAAGTTTATTCATCTAGAGACACTTCCTAGAGGAAGTGATTCCAGAAGGAGAAAGAACTTTCTCAGAATCAACCAAAGCAAAGATCCCATAGCTGGAAGGAGGGTATGGGCCAGTTTGGGCAGACTTGACAAGACTAGATGACTAGGGTAGAAACATTCTGTGGTTTGTGTGTCAACCAAAGCAAAGATCCCATAGCTGGAAGGAGGGTATGGGCCAGTTTGTGCAGACTTAACAAGACTAGATGACTAGGGTAGAAACATTCTGTGGTTTTGTGTTTGTTTTTCTGTATCACGCATGAGCGTGGGACAGAGGACAATGCTGGTGGTCTTACTCAGTCACTTGTATTCTTCTACCATTTCTTTGTAATCTCTCCCTCTCTCCCTCGCCTGTGCATTTGGAGGCCAGAAGTCTCATTATCCTGGAGCACACCAACTGGCCTAGATTAGCCAGCAAGTCCCAGGGACCCTTCTGTCTTTTCCTCCCAGCACTAGGATAACAATTAGGTCCCATTCCCAGACTTGTTTTTGTTATTTGTTTCTTTTTTTTTTTCCCTTTCTCATGTATTGTATGGATGGAACTCGTGTCCTAAGTTTGCAAGATAAGTACTTTAGTAACTGAGCTGTTTCCCCACCCCAGCCCTGTTCTATGATTTTTAATTCCAACACAAAAGAAGTAGGAACAGAGATTCAGCTGTTGCTACTACAGGCCCCAGGCCCTTTTTTTCAGATTCATAGCTGAGA